AAATTAATTCATCACCTACAACTACTACTGAAGCTGCTTTGCTCGAGCAGTGGGTGGTGGCTAGGTCGGCACTGCTGGGCTGAGCATTGGGAGCGTGGCCACGCCCTTCGGGTCATGGCATGGCGCTCTGAGGCGTCCTCTGCGGGGCTGGTCGGGCAGGGCTTTCATTGACGATCCAGCACCGAGTGGGGGTCAAGGGCGACGGGCATGAGGAGGCAGCTGGGCATCATGGGAGTGCAATTTGCATTGAAATCAGCCCAAGCTCGGACGGTGCAGCTGATCATTCCATCTGAATGGCACCTCTTGCGCTCGTAAATCACTTTCGGCCTGGGTCTTAGAAGCTCAAGACTTAGACTGTGGTCAGATTCAGTTCTTGATGGCCACACACAGAGCGTGTAGCAAGCCAGGCAGCCGTGTTGCCAACAGGGTCTGCTTGGCTTGCGACGCACTTGTTATCTGGATCTATTGGAGGTTGAGCAAAACAGGTACAAGGACCTTCAGGTGCAATACGATGCATTGCAGGCCCTCTGCAGTTCTTCTTGCCCAACGAGCTGCCTTTTCTGCAGACCCCCGGAGTTCCAGAAGTCGCAGCACGGCTTTGTCTTGGCATTGGGCGTGTTTCCAGGCCACAGCAGAAGGACAGGGCATGGCCATGTCACGCCAGAAATTGAAACTCACGTCGCTGGTCGATGTTGTTGTCTGCAGCCCACATGGTGCAGCTCGGAAGAGAGAGAGATCGAGGCACAATGTCCCTCGATCTCCTTTTTCTTCTGGGCTACGCAATGTGCAAGCGGCAGGCCACTCCAATGGATTCTCACACTGAGTGTCACTGGGACTGGCAGCAACAGTGGAACATCGCTGCCGATGGACGTTGTTACTGCAACTGTACCAGTCCGCTACTCGCGAAGCCGGACTGGTTAGGAGAAACGTCATCATAATATGATGATGCTGCTCCTCACCAGTCCGGCTTCAACGCGACTGTTGCCGAGTGCATCTACACATCAAGAGCGACAGCGAGGACAAGCTTTGCCTTGCTGTCGCTCTTGATTTGTAGACACCACAGACAGATGGCAGCTGCTGTTAGTTAGTCGGCGTTAAGTATTGAAGTCCGGATAGTAGGCCGAGAGGTTCGGAGCCTCGCTCTTAGTCTCGGCCTCAATCCGAGGATTTTGCGCATGTCACAGCCTGCCGCCTCACTGTTTGCTAGCCAGGAAAAAACCACAGATCAGATATGGAAAGTAGGCTGAGGGGATCGGAGACTAGGACTGCGAGTGAGTATTGCGGCCACCGCGACCACTGACTATCAGCGGTATTACTGGTTACTACTACTACTACTACTACTACTACTACTACTACTACTACTACTACTACTACTACTACTACTACTACTACTACTGCTTCTACTGCTTCTACTGCTACTACCACTACTATAATTACTCTGATTCTGCGAATGTTGTACACTGTACAGCAACCATCCCGTCATTTGTTATGTTTCTGTAACAAGTGTCAAGCTAAGCGCCCATTGTCATCTGTGCCAAGGACAATGGATGTCTATGAAGGGAGCTTGGGTTTCAGAGACTCAGGGCACGGGAATGACCGTCGCAGACGATCCCAGACCTGCCATTGCCCGAGACAGCTTGAAATTTGCTCCTTGCGTGCGGGTCTTATGTTTTTGAACTTTGTGCACTGCGTGCCAAGGCATCCTCAGTGTGAGCACCATTCACCGGAGCTTCGCATTCCAGAGAAGCAAAGCCATGCTCGGAGCTCTCGGCCCGGTTTCCCGGGCACGTGTTTGTGACCTCTGGGGGGACGAGGACAACAGGACTACGCCACTCCAAAGAGTGCCTGGCACTGGAGAGAAAACTATGTATGACAGTCAGCGTCGCCAAGCCATTTAAAGTTTTCACCAAGCCTGATCGTGTAAGTTTAAGGTCCAACAAAGAGGAGTTCGGGGAACGAGGGAGACTTTGATGGGACTGCTGGAGAACATGTCCGTGCCGTCAGGGAAGCCAGTCATTGTGGCCGACTTGGTTCCCAACCAGATTCTGGACCTAAAATCATTCAGTGAGTGAGCTTTCATCTACTATAATATTACTATTATGATTCATGTTACTTATTGGGTTATGATTGTGATGGGGTGGTTGGTGTGGTGGTGTTTCTGTTCTGAGTCTTTTTCTGGACTAAGTGTGACTCACTGAAGAATTATTCAATGGGTCAGTCAGTCAATTTGAATTTTGACACATTGTGGATGCATTTGCTCCAGGTTCAATGAATGGGGACGTGCAATTGCCGAAATGCAGATTGAGAAGTTCGACAATCCGACAAGTTGCTACAACTGGCACTTCGTCAGCTACCCTCATCCAGATGACTTGGATGCAACAGCTTTGCAGCAGCACATTGCTGGTGTCTTCATGAATGTGTGGTCCTCGGTCTTACTCTTCCGTGAATGAGTTTGACCGACAGATGATGACTCAATCCCTGACCTCGTCGCAGGACTGGTGGGATACTTCAAGTCAAGCTGGCCCTAAAGTTCGTCCACAGTCTGACACCGAACGCCTTGTCGTGCCAAGCTTGGAAGTCTTGTCGCTGGACACAGACTTCAAGGTGACGACACTTGCCTCATGATAATTGATTGAGTCGTCTGTCCTTGGTTTGAGAATAATAGAGCTCGTCGCTTCCTCATGGCAGTGAAGGTTGCCGGAATCGGTGAAGTCAGCACTGGGCACCAGCAAATCCGAGTCTTTGCAGAAGAAGGTGAATGCCCTGAATCTGCAGTCGACTCCTCTGGGAAGCAGTACTCCCGCAGCCGTCTCTGGAGCAGGGGCAGGGCAAGCTGAAGGGAGGACGGGCAACAGGAATGTTGCCAGAACGCTTTGCCGCCCAGAGTTCAGCCCCGGAGCTACCCCCCCGGATCTTCTCCGAACCCTGGTATTGGACATGATGTCAGTTGGCGAGCTCGAGGAAAAGTTACAGCGCCTACACAAACAAGAAGCTACGTTTGATTTTTTGCTTAGAGCACAGTGGCGGGAAGTCTGCAGCCTTCGACACTGCATTGAGGTCCTTCGTCCAGGCTCCCGCATCATCTTGCGACAAGATTGATGTCTTTATCGAGACTGGCACCGAGCCAGGAATTTACCTTGGCAACACGAGCGAAAGCGAGACTGTGACGATGGAAGCCGGGGAGTTGTGCGGTTTCAACCTTGGAAGCTTCGTGGAGAGAGCGCAAGGCGCGGCATGGAGTCTCCCAGTGAGTGAGTTTCACTGTCTTTGTGTGACCGTGACAGGCCCGCTTGAACATATTCCTGCCATGCAACAGACTATAATAGTTAGTAAAGTTTCATGTTTAATGAATAAATCGGAGGCATGGCACGGAACAACAAGGACAAGCACTTGCCGTTTATGTTGGAGAATGATTGGTCCTTGGTCGTGTTCCTCGACCCCGTCCGTGGTAAGGTAGCCATGTCTGTGGCAGACCTCGTGTGCCACGCAACCCAAACGCATGGAATCACGGAAGTGAACCTTGTGGACCACAAGCTCCAACAGATGCTCGAGGCAAGACTTGAGTCTCAATGAGTGCTAGAATTCACTGTTGGAGACGTGTTGAATGGCCCGAGTTATGGCAGGACGATGGTGTCTCGCTGAGGATGTTTCGCTACACATTGGAGCCGAATGCCAAGTTGAATTGCTTTGAGCCCAAGGCTCTGGAGGAGGGTGCCGATGCCAGGTCCTCTCAACTTGGGGCTGCTATGCGTGGTCGCTTCACCAAGTACCCTTTGAGCGGCCCCAACTGTGCCTTGTTGTGGGAGGCACGACGCGGGTTCAAGTTGAAGTTGATGTTTCATCTCTGACTCATAATAAGTCAGTTAATGTGAGATATTATTCTTATTATTATGTGATAGTGACTGAAGTGACAGGTACGGCTGGACCAGGGCGTTCCATGCCAAATCGTGGCCGTGAAACCAAAGCTTTGGCTTCTTGGCGAGTTGAAGCTGGCGCCGCTGACATGCGCAAAGCTTGTGTAGAGCCGGGCAGATTGGACTTGGAGACAATTTGTCTCCAGCTTCGGCGGCCGAAGCTTCTTGTGAGCAAGTAGAATTGAATTAAAACCGGTAACCATGATCATGACCTGTCTCCCGGAAGAAGTTTACATTGAATTGGCCTCCGGAAGCTCGGTCCGCCATTTATTTGGATTGACACCTGATTATCTGTACGATGCGCTGGGCCACAGCAGGCGATGCTGCCAGCAGCGAGTGTAAGCCCGATTTTAAGGAAAGTAGGCCGAGAGCTTCGGAGCCTCGCTCTTGTCTCGGCCCAAATCCAAGGAGTTGGCGATGCTGCTGGCAGCCAGCGTAAGCTTGATTTAAGGAAAGTAGGCCGAGAGCTTCGGAGCCTCGCTCTTGTCTCGGCCCAAATCCAAGGAGTTGGGAGCAGCAGCGAGTGAGAGCCCGATCCAAGGAAAGCAGGTCGAGAGGTTCGGAGCCTCGCTCCTTGTCTCGGCCCAAATCCAAGGAGTTGGCGCTTTCACGTCCGCTGCTTTAAACACTTTCGTGCGTGAGACTGAACAGACTGGACAGTCGGCCGAGAGGATCAGAGCCTCGCTCTTGTCTTTGCCCAGTCATGTTCTGATTCCGCATGACAGGTCGTCTGAGAGGATCGGAGCCTCGCTCTTGTCTTTGCGATCATGTTGTCATGCGTGACTGTTTGCCGCCATCAGACCACAGTCCAGGTGGACGGTTACGGTTACCAGTCAGTCCAGTGAATACTACTACTACCCCGAACGGGGTGATATCATTGTCACTGTCATGCCTTTGGCAGATGTCGATGCTCTGTCAGACTCCGATGGCAAGGCTGCTGACGATGAAGGCGCGTCAGAGCTTGAAGAGCCGGCGTCCAAGCCCGAGAAGAAGTCCAAGGCAACGCCCAAGAACACCACCTCCAAGAAGGCGATGAAGAAGAAAAAATCAGCATCCAAAGACGCAAAGAAAAAAAAGAAGAAGTCCATGCGGACATCAGAGCCAGACGCCACAGAGTCAACGGCCTTGACGGCAGCGGGTGAGGACGAGGATCAAGATGAAGACGGAAACGAGTCTGAGGACTTGGGGTCCCCTGACGAGAAGCCGGAATCGGACGTCATCGCGGAGCAGCCGAAGAAGAAGAAGAAGAAGAAGAAGGCAAAGGCCCAAGCAAAAAGCAAATCCAAAGCCAAGGCCAAGGCCAAGGCCAAGGCCAAGGCCAAGGGCAAAGCACAGGCGAAAGTTAAAGCCAAATGTAAGGCAATCATGAGGCGGCCCTCGGCATCCTGCGAGAAAGGAAAAAGTGGACCACGCAAGGTCAAGAGGTACACGTACCTAAAGGAGAAAAGGTCGGCGTCAAGGTGGATGACCACGAGTGGGTCACGGCCTGCAACTCAGTCTGAGGCGTCACCTTGATTAAATTTGAAGCATAACAAGAAAAAGTCGAATCCATAGGTGAAGCTGATCCCGCAGCTTGGACCAGAAGTCCAGCACGAGATCGTAGCCCCGCGGTGGTTATTATTTGGTCTGATTTTATATTTAATCTTGTCCAGATTGTCATCCTGAGGTCAGCCTGACGTTTGTTAAGCGCGGCCTTTTTGCAGTATTAGCTGTAATAATAGTCAATCTCGTAGTAGTAGTAGTAGTAGTAGTAGTAGTAGTAGTAGTAGTAGTAGTAGTAGCCAGGAGGCTGCTATGAAGGAGTGCGAGAACTTCAACACCAACAAACAGGACATCAAGACGCTGGTGGTGCACGGCCTTAAGTTTGCATGCCATTCTTAATGTTTTTGCCCAGCGTGGGTCTGAAGTTCACAGCAACTGCCGTAACAGAAGCGCCTTAGGTGATTTTGGCAGAAAAACGCCTATTATATACTGCTGTCAGAATGCACATTAAATTATTATGCTTTTCGCAGGCCTACAGTACTGCTTGCAACTCTAAGGTATTGACATTCACCGTCCACTGAATGCCATGACGAACCTGAGGCAGAGATGACCAATGCCAAGCTCAAGGAGATGAAAAACAAGAAGAACTCCACTGCCGAGCCAACCGCCGCATTGCCCGACAAGGAGCTGACGGCCTACGATTATTACCAGTAACACCACACCTTTACTTTGTTGTTAGCTGTGACATGAATCATCCTGTATTGCCCCCACCAGGACGATGCTGATGATGATGACAATGAGAACAACGAGTCTGAGGACGGCGAGGCTTTCCAGGAGGATGCGTTGGTGGCGGACTGACGGGCCCGGCACTCCAGATGATGCACTGACTGAGCCACGGCAGGCGATGCTGCTATTCGTAGCAGGTTTAAGGGAAAAATGGCCGAGAGGTTCGGAGCCTCGCTCTTGTCTCGGCCAAAATCCCAGGAGTTGGCGCTTTCAGAGTCTGCCGCTTCGCTCTTAGTGCAAGCATGAGACCCAGAGAACACATTGACTGGAAAAGTCGGTGCCGCTACACTTAAAATGGATTCGATTCATTCGTCATGTCATATGCCATCATACGACTGCTGACTACTTGCCAGACAGAAGTGAGAGAGACCTGGGACCAGGGAGGGGGGTTCGAGCCTTGGGCCGGACATTATGGGTGGTGGGCTCCTTTGATCTCACCTCCGATAGATATAGTATCCGCAGCGCGCTCTCTGCTCCGATACTGCATGATAATTTTTCCGTTACAGTTTAATTTATTCGGTGGCGAGGTATTTGATATTATTTACTCCTTGATACTAAGACCATGTAATATAATAATAATAATAATTTATAATCTATAATAATAATAATTAGTCAAACTCATTAAAAATTAGTAGACTGTCGTAACAGTACGAGGCTAAGCTTTTTAATAAATTTCATAGACCAGACTTTAATTTTTGCGATCAGCTTCAACATAAACGCCCTAATAACCCTTATAATATAGACCCTCGAAGTTAGGCCTAAGACTGACTGTCGAGTTTGGCCCAATGTCGGGAAGAATCTGCCCTTAAAGGCCTTAAGCCCGGAAAGTGTTTAAAATAAGAATTGGCTCAAACTTTGGCTCAATGCGACGACGATTGCCGCTACTACTTTGACATTTTTTTGCAATCGGCGCTCCCCTGGTTGATCTTTTGGGGGCGGCGCGGCGATGCTCCTTTATTATTCAAGCGATACCCTGGTTGATCTTTGGTGGGCGGCGCGGCGATGCTCCTTTATTATTCAAGCGATCCCCTGGTTGATCTTTGGTGGGCGGCGCGGCGATGCCCCTTTCAAGCTCTGCTGAAACAGGATCCCCTGGTTGATCTTTGACCCCCCGAATAGTACGAAAAAGCCTTAAGAACGCTTTTCGGAAGCTGGTGTGGGCACAGCAAGTTGCAGGGCGAGAAGAAGTTCAACTCGCCACGGCCGCCACCACGCAGGCCAAGAACGACCTCTCGAGAAAGTCTGGCTTTTCGCCAGGGCAATGGGTGCTGGGCCGATCCATTCGGCTCCCGGCCAACCTGGCCGATGATGGAGAAGTGGCTCGAATTGGAGCCCAGGCCATGGCCGAGACGCCCAACACCAAGTTCTACCGCAAAAGCCAGCTGAGGTTTTCCGCCCGGGAGGTTTTCGTAAAGGCCTCAAGTGACGCCAGCCTCCGACGAGCAGAGCTTCGCAAAGTTCGGCCCAGCCGTGGCCCCTTCAATGTGGGCGACTACGTTTTCTACTACGACGCCTCGTCGAAGGAACCCGGGCCCAACTGTTGGCGCGGAGTCGGCCGCATCGTCGGAAAGGAGGGCACACATACCCTCTGGATTTCTCACCGAGGGATCTTGGTGGCGGCAAGCCCGGAGCAGGTGGCACACGCTATAGCGAAGATGAAGTTCAGAGCTGGACCGCCATTGGCAACGAAACCGAGCTCATGGACCTGATGCCTGCTGCAGGGGGCACAGGGTACATAGACATTCGCCAAGGTGAAAGACCTCCTCTTCCCGAACCTGGGGTGCACCGGCGGCTTTACCGGAGCCACCACCTTTACCAGCCGAGGTCGGAGAATGGAGCTCGGGTTCCCAAGATTCAGAGCGTGATGCTCAACGGCATCGGCGCTCTCGTGAGTTTTTCCGGGCCCAGGAGCAGAGGAGGAAGCAAGCTCGGACAGAGGCAAGACCAAGCTCGGAGACAGCCGGGCCGAGGGCACCACCGCCGTCCGCGTCAGAGGTCCCTGTAGATCCCACCGGGGCCGAGGACCCCGACCTGGAGGAGAGCCCGGTCTATGTATTTCGATCCCGAGATCCATGACTACCACGAGCCCTGTGGTTGAGGATCCCGAGGCGGAGGCAGCCGAGAGAGAAGCCAAGCGGCTCAGAACCGTCGAGCCTGGAGAGACCGCAAGCTATGCAGCCGAAACCTGTTGCGTTTATGTGGCCTACGAGTCCCAGGCCTACCTGACGCACAAGGCCAGGGAGACTTACCGCAAGCACGAGTCCGCTTACCTGGCTTGGGGAGTTTCAGAGAGCGAGTTCCTCTTCGGCTTTAGGCGGAACGACTTTGAGCACAAATACCAGGCGATGGCTGCCGGCAACGCCCTGGAAGAAGAAGGGGCGAAGGGAGCTACAGCTGAACGAGCTCAGCCGCGAGAAGCAGGACCTCTTCACTGGACCGGAAGGCTCCGACCAAAAGGAGTGGACCGCTTGGAAAGCCAAAGAGGCCGTGGAATTCCTGAGCCTTGCCGAAAGCGCCCAAGTTCGACGCGAGAAGGCCGACCTCATTGTGCCTACGAGGTGGGTGCGAACGAACAAGACCGAGGGCCTAGAGGGCAAAGAGTTTCAGGCCAAGTCCAGGCTTGTGGTGTATTACCGAAGAGACGCCCCGACAGCCAGCGCAACGGCAGAAAGCATTTGTCTTGCCATTTGCGCGTTCTTGGGCTTCACCCTGTTGGCGAAGGACGTCAAGAATGCCTACTTCAGCGGCCAGCCACCTCGCGGCGGCCTGCCGGGGCTTAAGCCGGGACAGCTCTTGAGAGCGAGGAAGGCCATTTATGGTTTTGCCGAGGCAGCCCGGATGTTCTGGCTGGCTTTGAAAGAGCATTTGGAATCCGACGGTTGGGTTGAGAGCCGTCTAGAGCCTGCTCTCTTTTACCTTCGGGAACAAAGCGAGTTAGTCGGCATCCTGGTGACCCACGTGGACGACATCGAAGGCGGGGTCAAGGATGGCTGGCTCGACAAGGCCTTCCAGAAGTCCTCCGTTGCCCTCGACTTCGCCACCAACCATTATTTCCGGGACTTTATCTTTAGAGGGCGGGAGGTAAAGCAAGGGCCGCAAAACCACATCGACGTGAGCATGCGCAACTAAGACTTGAGTATGAAGACGGTGTCCATAGGACAGGAACGGCGGCGCCAGCTCACCGACGGCCTCACGCCACAAGAGCTGGAGACCTTCCAGAGCGTCTCGGGCGAGCTGGGCTGGATCACAAGACAACTTCGTTGCGATCTAGCATATGAGAACGGGGTGGTCCAAAGGTGCAAAGGTGACCCTTGTGTGGCGGACCTGGTGCGTTTGAAACAGTATGTGGGGCAAGCCAGGCGTGGTGCCGACTTCCGGCAACGCTATTGGGCTGATGTGGACCTGCGCAACTGTGTGATCGTGCACTTGGCGGACAGTGGCCACGCCAACGGGACCCCCGCCTACAAGGAGGAAACGCGTTACCGCAGCGTCGGTGGCTATTTCACCCTGGCGGCGAACCCTGAGATCTTGGAGGGCAAGACGGCGCGGGCCAACATATTGGCCTACCACTCTTCACAGACCAAACGGGTCTGCCGAAACACGCTGGCGGCTGAGGCCAGCCATTTGGCCGAGGCCATTGAAGCTGGTGATTGGGCCATTGTGCTGCTGGAAGAAGCCCTGACGTGGCAAGTGGATTTGAAAGGGTGGCCGAGCGTCATCGAGAAGCGGCAGAGGGTGTATGTCACCGATGCCCGCTCCGTTTTCGACTACCTGGCTAAAGAATCAACGAGCACCAGCAGCGACAAGAGGATGGCGATCGAAGGAGCCCTCCTTCGAGAGACGGTGCGCAAGCCTGGCGCACACGTGCGCTGGATTGATGGCCTACAGAACGTGTCCAACGTGCTCACCAAGCACAACGCCGAGAAGGACACCCTGCGGGAATTCCTTCGGACGGGCATGACCACTCTGGTCCAGACCCGTGAGAACCAGAAGCTGAAGGAGCGCAAGCAGGCGGAACGCCAAAGGCGAAAGGTGGCAAAGGACAAGGACCGCGAGGCTCAGGCTGACCAACGGCGACAGCGACGACAAGAAGCTGCTGCCGAAGCCGAGAACCTGCTGAACGACTCTGGTCCTGAGGCTGACTATAAAGAGGGAGTGAGATTCTCCAGAGTGCAGTACAGCCTCAGTCCTTTTATCTGCGTGCCGGCCGACTTCTCAAGCTGGCCCGAAAGCAATTGTGCGCAGAGACATGTTGCCCGCCACGAGCATGTTCCGGTCTGCTCAAAGCACAACCGCAGGATGCAAGCAGGCAGAAGTTTCACAGACTACACGTTGCATGCTAGCGACCAAAAAAGCCCATACGCTGCCAGTGCTTTCCGCACAAGCGCATAGCGATCATTGTAGCCAGGGCTTGCAGGTGCATTTGCAGCAGCAGGTCCCAGCAAGCAGTAGCTGTATCGGCAGCAGAATTGGCGCCTTCTGGATATGAAACACATGCACAGCATCGCATGGATGCTTTTAGGATCTTTTTATGCCCAGCAATCCCGGGAGGGTTCTGGCTTCTGTAGGTTCCCGCCTCGTTCGCGCATACCCAGAGGCCAGAGGCGCGATGCCGGCTTCCCGCTGCAGGTCCACCCGAACGGCAACCTCATCGCCGCGGGCGGTACATCTTCCTCGCTGGATGGCTACACCCATGCCGGTTCAGAAGATGCTTTGATCATGAGCTTCGACAGCACCGGCGCCTGGCAATGGACCGTGCAGCGCGGAGGCTCAAGGGTCAGTTTAGTCTGAATTCTTGCAACGTTCCAAGAGAGGGACAGCTGACCGACCGCAGAGCATCGCCCGGAGCCCAGCCCTCCGCCCAGGCTCCGACATGGATCGCTTCCGTGCCCTGCAGGCAGGGAGCGGGGGGAGCGAGGGAGCAGGGGCAGCCGGCCGTGCAGCGCCGTTTGCAGAGAGTTCGGAGCTCGAGGCGTAATATTATCGCAAGCGCATGGCGTGCATTAGCCCTGGCTGCAGGTGCATGTGCAGCAGCAGCTCCCAGCAAGAAGTAGGAGTAGTTGGGGCAGGCCTTCCAGGGACCTTTACAAATCTCCGGATCGCCCCCAAGGACCGCAAATGAAAGGCCAAAAACTATCAAAATTGGCCAGGAGCTGGAGGCACAGCAGAGATAGGGCCAGGGCTGAGTGGCAGCAGATGCAAAATTTTAATTGGCTCCTTCTGGATATGAAGCACATGCACAGCATCGCAAAAGACGAGGAGGCTTACAGTCCTACAGCAAACACCGCCGAAGGCCTCTATCTGCCGGGATGAGGAACCCCCAGCCTTCCGAGAGCTCCAGGATGAGAGGCGGATGCTTTGAGGATCTCTACGGCCAGCAATTCCGGGAGGGTTTTGACCGTTGGATCTGTGCCAAAAAGCGCGATCCGGAAACGATCTCTGGGGTTCATGGGCCAAGGCCATGCGAGGCTACTATAGGCTCCCACCTCGTTCGTGCATACCCAAAGCAGGCAAGAACAGGTGATGGGGTTTCGTGAACCCTGGGTCAAGAAGAGGCTGCACTGGCTCCCCGCTGCAGGTCCACCCGAACGGCAACCTCATCGCCGCAGGCTTCACATCTTCGTCGTTGGATGGCTACACCAATGCCGGTTCATCCGATACTTTGCTCATGAGCGTCGACAGCACCGGCACCTGGCAATGGACCGTGCAGCGCGGAGGCTCCAGGGTGGTTCCTGCAAGTTTTGTCTGAGTTTCTTGCAACGTGCCAAGAGTAAGAGAGGGACAGCAGACCGCAGAGCAGCGCCCGGAGCCCAGCCCTCCGCCCAGGCTCCCTCGATGACGTCTTCGAAGCCCTGCAGGCAGGGAGTGGGGGCAGCGAGGGAGTGTGGGCAGCGGGCTGTGTGCAGCGCCGTTTGCAGAGAGTTGGGAGCTCGAGGCGTAGTAGTATCGCAAGCACATGGCGTGCATTAGCCCTGGCTGCAGGTGCATTTGCAGCAGCAGTTCCCAGCAAGAATTAGTAGCAGCAGGGGCAAGGCTTCCAGGGGCCTTTACAAATCTCCGGCTCGCGCAAATGAAAGGCCAAAAACTATCAAAATTGGCCAGGAGCTGGAGGCACAGCAGAGATAGGGCCAGGGCTGAGTGGCAGCAGATGCAAAATTTAAATTGGCTCCTTCTGGATATGAAGCACATGCACAGCATCGCAAAAGACGAGGAGGCCTACAGCAAAGACCGCCCAAGGCCTCTATCTGCCGGGATGAGGAACCCCCAGCCTTCCGAGAGCTCGAGGATGAGAGGCGGATGCTTTGAGGATCTCTACGGCCAGCAATTCCGGGAGGGTTTTGACCGTTGGATATGTGCCAAAAAGCGCGATCCGGAAACGATCTCTGGGGTTCATGGGCCAAGGCCATGCGAGGCTACTATAGGCTCCCACCTCGTTCGTGCATACCCAAAGCAGGCAAGAACAGGTGATGGGGTTTCGTGAACCCTGGGTCAAGAAGAGGCTGCACTGGCTCCCCGCTGCAGGTCCACCCGAACGGCAACCTCATCGCCGCGGGCTACACATCGTCCTCACTGGATGGCTACACCAATGCCGGTTCATCCGATGCTTTTCTCATGAGCTTCGACAGCACCGGCACCTGGCAATGGACCGTGCAGCGCGGAGGCTCCAGGGTGGTTCCTGCAAGTTCAGTCTGAGTTTCTTGCAACGTGCCAAGAGTAAGAGAGGGACAGCAGACCGCAGAGCAGCGCCCGGAGCCCAGCCCTCCGCCCAGGCTCCGGCGGAGACTACTTCACTGCCCTGCAGGCAGGGAGTGGGGGGAGCGAGGGAGTGTGGGCAGCGGGCTGTGTGCAGCGCCGTTTGCAGAGAGTTGGGAGCTCGAGGCGTAGTAGTATCGCAAGCACATGGCGTGCATTAGCCCTGGCTGCAGGTGCATTTGCAGCAGCAGTTCCCAGCAAGAATTAGTAGCAGCAGGGACAAGGCTTCCAGGGGCCTTTACAAATCTCCGGCTCGCGCAAATGAAAGGCCAAAAACTATCAAAATTGGCCAGGAGCTGGAGGCACAGCAGAGATAGGGCCAGGGCTGAGTGGCAGCAGATGCAAAATTTAAATTGGCTCCTGGATATGAAGCACATGCACAGCATCGCAAAAGACGAGGAGGCCTACAGCAAAGACCGCCGAAGGCCTCTATCTGCCGGGATGAGGAATCCCCAGCCTTCCGAGAGCTCGAGGATGAGAGGCGGATGCTTTGAGGATCTCTACGGCCAGCAATTCCGGGAGGGTTTTGACCGTTGGATCTGTGCCAAAAAGCGCGATCCGGAAACGATCTCTGGGGTTCGTGGGCCAAGGCCATGCGAGGCTACCTCGTTCGTGCATACCCAAAGCAGGCAAGAACAGGTGATGGGGTTTCGTGAACCCTGGGTCAAGAAGAGGTTGCACTGGCTCCCCGCTGCAGGTCCACCCGAACGGCAACCTCATCGCCGCGGGCTCCACAGATTCCTGGCTGGATGGCTACACCAATGCCGGTTCATCCGATGCTTTGCTCATGAGCTTCGACAGCACCGGCGCCTGGCAATGGACCGTGCAGCGCGGAGGCTCAAGGGTCAGTTTAGTCTGAATTCTTGCAACGTTCCAAGAGAGGGACAGCTGACCGACCGCAGAGCAGCGCCCGGAGCCCAGCCCTCCGCCCAGGCTCCGACATGGATCGCTTCCGTGCCCTGCAGGCAGGGAGCGGGGGCAGCGAGGGAGCGTGGGCAGCGGGCTGTGTGCAGCGCCGTTTGCAGAGAGTTCGGAGCTCGAGGCGTAATATTATTCGCAAGCGCATGGCGTGCATTGGCCCTGGCTGCAGGTGCATGTGCAGCAGCAGTTCCCAGCAAGAAGTAGCAGTAGTTGGGGCAGGGCTTCCAGTGGCCTTTACGAATCTCCGGATCGCCCCCAAGGGCCGCAAAGGAAAGGCCAAAGACTGACAAAATTGGCCAGCCCCACCCCCCCCCCCGCTTTCCGAGAGCTCCAGGATGAGAGGCGGATGCTTTTAGGATCTTTACGCCCAGCAATTCCGGGAAGGTTCTGACCGTTGGATCTGTGCCAATAAGCGCGATCCGGATCTCTGGGGCCGACTGGGGTTCATGGGCTAAGGTCATGCTAGGCTCCCACTTCGTTCGTGCATAGCCAGAGGCCAGAGGCCTCAGCTAACTGACAACCGCCCCAAGTGCCAGGCTTTCTTGCAGGTTACAGGTGGAAGGTTTGAAGTTTTTGCATAATGCTCGGCTTCACGCTTCCGGCTTCGGGCCGTTGATGGGGTTTCGTGAACACTGGGTCAAGAAGAGGCTGCACCGGCTCCCCGCTGCAGGTCGACTGGAACGGCAACCTCATCGCCGCGGGCGGTACATCTTCCTCGCTGGATGGCTACACCCATGCCGGTTCAGAAGATGCTTTGATCATGAGCTTCGACAGCACCGGCGCCTGGCAATGGACCGTGCAGCGCGGAGGCTCCAGGGTCGTTCCTGCAAGTAGAGAGGGACGGCAGTTCGCAAAGCAGCGCCCGGACCCCAGCCCTCCGCCCAGGCTCCGGCGGAGACTACTTCACTGCCCTGCAGGCAGGGAGTGGGGGGAGCGAGGGAGCGTGTGGGCAGCCGGCTGTGTAGCGGCGTTTGCAGTAGCCCTGGCTGCAGGTGCATGTGCAGTTGCAGTTCCCAGCAAGAAGTAGCAGCAGGGGGAAGGCTTCCAGGGGCCTTTACAAATCTCCGGATCGCCCCCAAAGGAAAGGCCAAAAACTGTCAAAATTGGCCAGCAGGATGAGAGGGGATGCTTTTAGGATCCATACGCCCAGCAAATTTGGGAGGGTTCTGACCGTTGGACCTGTGCCGAAAAGCGCGATCCGGGAATGATCTCTGGGGCCGACTGGGGTTCATGGGCTAATGTCCTGCTAGGCTACTTTAGGCTCCCACTTCGTTCGTGCATACCCAGAGCCCAGAGGCCTCAGCGAACTGACAACCGCCCCAAGCGCCAGTTCCAGGTGGAAGGATTGAAGTTTTTGCATGAGTCCGGCTTCGGGCCGTTGATGGGGTTTCGTGAACACTGGGTCAAGAAGAGGCTGCGCTGGCTCCCCGCTGCAGGTCGACCCGAACAACAACCTCATCGCCGCGGGCTTCACAACTTCCTCGCTGGATGGCTACACCAATGCCGGTTCAAACGATGTCTTTCTCATGAGCTTCGAGGCCTGTGAAGTCGTCACAGCGTCGCAGTGTACACTTTCCTGCAGTACTGGAGCTGTTTTCGGCCATTTGGGCTCCGTCGAAGTTGGCTCGGCACGCGTGCTGGTAGGTTGAAGCGTGTCACGTTGACATGATTGACACTAATGACACTTTTGCCCCTTGTTTGAGCCTGTGTGCCAGACAGTGCCGGCACCCTGACCTGTGCAGGGAAGTCCGACCACCACCACGACCACCGCGACCACCACGAGCACCACCACCAAGGCCTGGCATCTGCCAGCTGCGACGGTGAGTTAGGACGCTTGTGTGCGTCTCGAGCAGCGCCACCGCAACCCAGGTGCCGGGGAGACATTTTTTGTTGATTTTTTGGTGCGCGCGTGTGTTTTACCAAGCGCTGGCAGACCTCGAGCAGCATGACCAGAACGAGTTCCACAACATCCACCGTCACCTGGGCTGCGCATGGCAGACCGCGCTATAGAGCCCTAAACATTATCGCAAAGCGCGTGCCCGCCTGGGCCGCCGGTGTGTTAGCAGTGGCAGCAGCAGCAGTTCCGGCAACAAGTAGCGCCACGCCGAAAAGGGGCACTTCCGAGCGAGGCCACGGGCGGGGGGAAGACAAAGATGACGGAATCTCCCCGTTTGTTGTGTCGAACGACGAAAGGTTTTCTGTCTCTTGAACGACAGTTTGAGCGGTCCTGTACCTCCTAGCACCTCGCACGGCAGCAGCGATCTCATTTGCCAGGATTTGCTATGCTCTGAACAAGTGAACAGAAACTGCTCCCCCTCCTAACAAGAGAGTTACCGAAGTTACCGTGTCTTCTAAGAAGAAATAAGACCTGAGCTGCCACCGAGGTAACCGCTACCTCGAGCACCACCGCCGGGACCTTGGACCTGTGGCTTCGTTGTCAGGCTCAGCTCTGCACAGAAAAGAAGTGCCAGCTGCAGCTTGGTTGACGAACGGCTCATATCCCTCCCCCCAGCTGCCCTCGAAAGAATGAGATTCTTGCGGACGGCGGCACTGGTGTTTAGCGTGATGTTTGAAGGCCAGAACTTGTCTTGAGCACGTGAGAGCGGGGCCGTAAAGTGGGGGAGCACTTCTGACTGAGGCCACTGCTTCATCAACAACGTCCGCAACGTCATCATCTTCCACGGGCACAACAAGCAGCACCAGCACCACCAGCACCACCACCACCAGCACCACCAGCACCACCAGCACCACCAGCACCACCAGCACCACCGCCACGACCAGCAGCAGCAGCAGCAGCAGCACTGGGACAGCCACAGCATCAACCACGAGCACTGCCACTGCCACTTTCACCAGCAGCACTGGTACGGCCGCGGCATCAGCTAGCAGCACTGCCACTGCCACTGCAACGAGCAGCAGCAGCAGCACTGGCACTGCCACGACCACCGGCAGCACTGGCACTGTCCCGACCAGCAGCACTGCTACTGGCACCACCCGCAGCAGCACTGGTACCGCCACCACGCGCAGCACAACTACGAGCAGCGGCACTGGCACCGCGACTACGAGCAGCAGCAGTACTAGCGGTGTTGGCACAACCACCGTCGAGGCCAGAGCGTCACAGTCAGGAGCCGTAAGGAGCCGCACTACTTCACTATTTTGTGCAGGGCAGCTCAGCCGACCCTGGAGGTGTGGTCGTATCGCAGCACTGCGATTCCGAGACTCTGATACCTCGGTAGGGCTTTGCCAGGACTGCGTTGCCCTGCGGGGCAACGTGCGGGAGCCCCAAGCTTCCACCGTTGTTCAGCAGCCTGCACCTCAAAGTTGACGCCAGGCCTGTTCCATCACAGCCTACGACCTTCATGGCTGCGGCCCCGGAATCTGCAGAACCAGCAGAGAGTGAGGGGCTGCTCGGAAGAACGACGAGGCCAGCCGACGGACCTGCCACCGCCCGAGTGGCGTTGCCTGAACTCGTCTTTGCTCAGACCCCAGATTGTAAAGCTTCCTATGCCATGAGATATTTTATGATTTTGGTCAGACGGTTGATGTTTAGATGGTTTTGGCCAAGTGACCTTGTTATTTCTGAGTTTGGAGCAGTACTTACCATCGGCGATTCGTAAGTGGTCCCCTAAGGCCCCTTGTTCCGCAAAGCCTTTGAACCACGAACCAAGACCGTGCCCCTGCAACGACCTCCACGAGTGGATCTGCCGGGATCTCAGGCCGTTTAGCGAAGGTGCGTTGTTGTTGTTGATGATGATGATGATGGCGATGATGCAAGCACTCCCCGGGAGTTGAATTAGTTATCCCCGAACGGGTCCTCGTCCCTAAGGCCGCCTTTGCGGATTCAGAACCGCAGCGTACTCGCAACATCATGAGGCTTGTAACGTTTTCATCGATTGCGCACCTCGTAGATTTTGTACTCATACCCGCCTGCACCAGCACGCCGCACGTTGTTTCCCGTCAGCATTGCCGCATTGCGGTAAGTCCCGGCAGTCTGCTTTAGAGCCATCCTGCCGTCATAGACAGCAGGATCGCAGAGCCTTAAGACATACACTTCGTCCTGCAATGACATGAGAGGCGTTCTTCGTTCTTGAACATTGCTGTGGTTTTTCTTTGGCATGTCAGTTGCACGGCTCAGGCCAACCCAACAACTCAACGTTGTTCTGCCAGCCCAAGATTCTCGGGCCCTGTCCCGTGCACGCCGGATGCATCTACTGTCCTCGGTCGGATGAGCTGAGTCGTGCCAGAAGTGCGATGGGTCATCGCTTTGAGGTACTGCAGCGCTGAGGAGCGCCTCGATCGGATTCGGCCGTCTGTGGTTGTCCATGTGGCAAGAAGCGAACTTGAGCGTGGCCTCCTTCCATCCTCACCTTATGGCTTCGAGGCTCCCATGCTGGTCAGCCCCTTTCGACGCGACGTGGCGGCATGTCTCTTCGCATAGGGTTTCGGTGCACCTGGCCTTGGCCCCAAGGACACGGGCCGAGTCGACGGTAGCACGTTGCCGGAGAAGAGCTGCCACGCAACGGCCACAGGACCGTTACTTCATGCAACGCAGGGCTTGCGTTCGGTTTGGCAGTCTGGCAGGCTGCCCCTGCGACGACACCTGGGAGAAGAGGTGTGAGGGCCTATCTGCGTGCTACCCTAAGGCCCAAGACTGTCCCCTGGCTGCAGCGAAGCTGCTGGAGGCCGTGGCAGGTAAGGAGCCTTCAGTCTGCTCTAATTCAGAATCCAAAGAGAAGAAACGAGAGATGGCATGCCTCATGACGTCACGTGGGATCCCGGAACACAGGTCCCCTGGACTGCGGCGAGTATCCTATTTGCCATCACGCTTCGGGTGCTTTGGCCTGGAGGAAGGGATTCAGATCTCAACGATCACGTGGTCTGCACAGCAGATCTTGAAGCCTTGACGCTTTGACCGAGGGAACAAGAGCTGTGCCGACAGTGTTGGGTGCATCTGCGAAGACAACGAGCACCGATGCCAAGACCAGGACGTGCAGGGCTTGTGCCGGTGCCAGTACGGCAGGGCCTTCAAACTCTGAAGAATCAGCTGTAGCATGTCCATTGGAGAGGCCCGAAAACAAACCGTGCCTTCAGGATTCGGGTCTGTACATCTGCCTGTGGAAGGCACGCAGGGTGACAGCGGTGCTTGCTCAAGCAGAAAAAAACACACGGCGCTCACTCAGGAGCGGTTCCCGGTCTGCCCGAAGACTTGTGGAGATGACCAGCTCTGCAGCAAGACGTACTTTGAGGCTGGAGTGCTGTTTGTACGGGACCTACCCAGCAGCCTCGCGAACATGTGAGTTCATTGAGGGTGCTGTTTGTGCTGCCGGAGTTCTGCAGTTTTCTGGTTGTCCTTGCCTTCATTTCTAGGAAGAATGTTGCTTGACCGTCGCAGCGTTTGCAGCAACGGGGCAGCTGAGTCTCATGGAGAGGGTGCTGGTTGTGCTGAAACGAAGCCAAAACCGTGGGACATTTCAACAGATTCTTCAGTCTCCACAGTCTCCCAAAGCGTCCTACTCCAGAAACTTGGCCAGGACATCGTGCAGCCGCCTGGCCAAATGCTCCAGGCATCCTGTCGAAAATCCGCTCTTCACAGCCCGAGGCGCTTCGTGGAGGAGTGCTACCCCGGACCGTGCCCTGACCCTTGGTGCGACAGCACTGCCAAGCAGCCTCTGGGACTTGTGAGACGAGACGTCGAGACGATTTGAGATGGTGAGGCGCATGCGAAATATAGGCGTCAAAGCGAAGCAGCTCGGCATGGCCACGTGACAAAACTGAGGTGTGCTGGTGCTTCCGGGACCTTCTGCGTCCCTCGGGAGTTCGACTGTCCTGAAGTATGTCGGGGACAAGAATGTCTTGTTGCGCCTGGGTGAAGATTCACCGAGGCAGTGCCTGCGTCTGCTTGTGGCTTTTTCACTGCCACGCCTCAGCGAAGCCTGAAGCGCAAGTAAGGACAACTTCGATGAGCAAGGACGATGGCAGAACTCTTCCACTACGTGACACCCAGCTGGAAAAGCTACGGCAGCCCCATTGTCTCAAGCCGTTGCACGCAGTGCACTGTCACGTCCTAGCTGCGCCGCTGTTTTTCCTTTGCCTCCAACATCTCCTCTTGAGGCATTCCTGATGGAGCAGATTGCCCTTGCGGAGAGAATGCTCTTCGCTGCCGCGGCCAGCGTGAGGACTTCTGCGCGGCGGCACTTTGGCAACAGTTGGAAGCCTTCCTGGGCTCGGGCTCAGTGCGAGATCTGCGCTGACGCTGAGGCGAGCGAAGGCTGTCCTGAGACCTGCGACCTGGCAACGCACCGCTGGTGCTACGACCTGTCCTTCACAGCTGATGGCCGGCCCACCCAGCTTGTCCATAGCTTGTGCAGAATTCGTCAAAGTTCTGCACGTTCCGCGAAGCCGCGGAACGACCCCGTCTCAGTCTCATGAGGCAGGCGCGACCCAAGCACACTGATGGTGACGAGTTGCGTTGCCAAGTCGCAGCCGGCACCTCACGGCTTGGCACGTGTGTCACATGCTTTGCTTGCCATGGGCGTGGCTCCAAGGCCGTGCAGCTGTGGGGAGCATGCGATGCCATGCAACTGGACGGCGACTTCTCAGAAATTCCCGGAAAGTACTGCGTTGAGCCTGCATGCTTCAGTGAGCTCAGGAT